TCTCCCGTCACACCCGTTGTCCCAAGCCCTCTCGATGTTTCCCTCTCAGGCCCGCGGGGCCGGCCCCTCTGAGAGGTCTCCTCTCCATAGAGCGGACTGTCAAAACCACTCCCGAACTCCTCTCCCTCGAGTCCTCGCCGACCCCACTCCGCCCTGGGTCCCGTCGCCTCGACTCACTCTGTCAACTCCTCCCGCCCCGGTGCTCTCACCTCAGACCTGCTGTCACCACCCCGGGCCCCGCGTCGCCGCCGCCGCTTCCTCTCTCACACTTGCTCCCGAGTCGCTCTTCTGCCGCTTGTTCCCTGGTGAATACCTGGGTCCAGTCACTGAATGTCCGGTCCAGCAGCGCAGAGCCTCCACCCGCTGTCTCCGCGTCGGCTCCCACTCTTGCAGGCAGGACCCCAACGCCTCCGTCGCCACCGGCGCCTCACGGACCCTCCCGCGGCAGCCGCTGCTGCTGTCCGAGGTGCGGCTCCTGCCAGGGGTGGCCAATCGCGCCCGACTGCGCCGAGCGTGCTCCGCCCCATCGTCCCAGTCTGCCCGCCCCCTGCACCCGGCCACGCCCCTAGTCAGGCTCCGATAGGCTCTCTACTGACCTTCCCTGATAGTGGGGCACAGACTCGTGGTCGGATATAGGTACTTGATTGGAGGTGCCTGGGAAGCCGAGCGGTCGATGGCTCCCGAGGATTGGTGGAGTTGAATGTGGGCGGGATAGGGAGGGGCGGGGTTTCCTCAGACGCGGAAGACCTTGCCACTTCAGTTACCCGCTGGCCCGCCTGGGGTGGGGTCTGGCTTGTTTGTGCTGCGTTGGGGGTCAAAGTTCATGGCACTCCTTTCTGAGTTTTCTTGGGAGACTCCCAAAGGCTGGGGCCCCCTGGGACTCTCTGGGACCACCTTGTTAGAGTCTTTGGGGTCCCCATTCCCCCGTTATACCTGGCACAGCTTTCTAAGTAATTCTGCCATAAATTGATAATGGCATTTATTCACTAAGGACTTCTGTTTCCTGAATTTAAACTCTCTAATGTCTTTGTCTAGGGTGTTGCCCTTCCTTGCATTGCGTTCTACCGACGTCAGTTTGATGCTGCTGGGGGGAAAAGAGTCTATATACTACATGCATACTCTGCACAACTAGGCACTCAACACTGACGGGGCGCATTTTGATAGGTATAAGGACAAAGCTTAATACTTAGTTTGTGGGTTATGATAATCATTTTGACAAGTAGGAACAGGAACTGTGTGCTAGGGAAACCCTTGCTAGCTTTAGCAAGACTTCAACATACTCTTTTTCAGGGCAACATGAAATGGTTTTAATGATTTTGTGGGAATTAATGACCAAAGTATAATGAACTTTGACCCAAAAGCAACCCGTGATAACCAGAGAAACCCATCTTGACCCAAGCGGCAAGAGGATACTTGCCAGGGGTGAAAGTGCATCCTATTAACTCAGAGTGACTCTTTATATTTTTGTGAAACTGGCTATGTTGATTAAATCAATTAAATTAAAACTAAAACCGCTACCTTCACCCCTAAACCCTAAAGTTTATGGACTTTGACAATTCAGCCTTTTGTGAAGACATTGTTTCATTCTAGGAACACAGTTTGTTCCTAAGCCTTATCAGATATATACAGGACTTCGCTCTTACAAAAGTCTCCATCATTAACTCTTTTTTAACGCCTGCTAACAAAATTTTTCTAAACAATATTCAGGTTTTTCCTAGCATTTTAAAATCATTGCTGTGTGTTGTGTTAGTCGCTCGGTCGTATCCAACTCTTTGCAAACCCATGGAGGTCCTCTGTAGCCCACCATGGTCCTCAGTCCATGGAATTCTCTAGGCAAGAATACTGGAATGGATTGCCATTTCCTTCTCCAGGGTATCTTCCTGACCCAGGGATCAACCTGTGTCTCCTGGATTGGCAGGTGGATTCTTTACCACCCAGCGGGGAAGGATGGCACAGTATGATTTAAAATCGTTATTTAAAGTAGTGCTCATTCCAATTAAGATCATACTGATCTAAGACCATACTTGCCATCCTTTCCTGCTGGCACAGTGGTAAAGAATCCACCTGCCAATGCAGGAGACTCAAGAGATGCAGGTTTGATCCCTGGGTCGGGAAGATACCCTGGAGAAGGAAATGTCAACCCACTCCAGTATTCTTGTCTAGAGAATTCCATGGACAGAGGACCCTGGTGGGCTACAGAGAACCTCCATGAGGTTGCAAAGAGTCGGACATGACTGAGCAACTAACACAACAACCACCAATTACGATGCTCCCTTTAAGATGTAATTTTGAGTGTTAGGGTATGTAACAAGGGTTTGGCAGGCCTTCCTCTAAGATGAGTTCTTATGTAAATATTGCCTGAGCCGTGTGACTGGGTGCCATTTTGGGAAGGGATGCAGAGATTTCAAGGTGGTAAAACTTGATTTTAAGGGAATTTGATTTTTAGAGGCCTAGGGAAAGACTGTCCAAAATCATATTAGACAACTATACATGTTGGATAAGACTAAAGTCATGAGAGAATTTTTTTGACTAGGTCCTGTTTCTTTATAAAGTATTTATTAGTTAAGAGCTCATCCTGAAAATGTGAAAGTGTTAGATGCTCAGTTGTGTCCAACTCTTTGCAATCCCCGGGACTGTAGCCCCCCAGCCCCATCCCCAACACCCCAGGCTCCTCTGTCCGAGGGATTCTCCAGGCAAGAATACTGGAGTGGATAGCCATTCCCTTCTCCAGGGGATCTTTCTGACCCAGGGATTGAACTCAGGTCTCCTGCATCGTAGGCAGATTTCTTTACCATCTGAGCCACCAGGGAAGCCCAAGAGCTCAATATGGATAGAAAAAAATGGGATAAGTTCACTATGCAAGTGTTCAGTTCTGTCTAGTTACATAAAAAAGAAAGGCATGATCCTTAACAGATGCTATTTGCAATTAAGTAGACAAAAGTAAGCAACATAGACATCAATATCTTGAAAGGAAACCAATTAGCAATTATATCAACTCTTTTTTAAAAAATCATTATATCATTGTATCAATGAACTCTGATTTCTAAAATGTTGGTGCTTTGTTTGGTGTTATTATTGCTACTGATGCAAACTCTAGTTGCTCAATATAGTTGATTACAAATAATTTAGACGTGACCCAACAGCATAAAAAAAGAAAATGACTTCATCCTTTGGACAAGAGACAGTTTTGAAGTTTTAGTTTTAAAATAGATGGTGGACCTACAGGGAGCCACGCGAATGCCTCTTATTTAGGAGCTTCAGAAGATCTCTGAACTTCTGGGAAGACATTACAGCATTCCATTCTGAAAATTTTTGAGTTTTGTTGGGAGGAAGAATCCGTCAGAAGTAGAGCCAAGATTTTATTTACAACAAAGCATAAAATAAGAAATGTTAAATGGGATGAGAAATAAATTTTTCTTTTTGAAAAGTCTCTATGGGGACCAATTCAGAGATAAATTTGGTCACAAAGGATCTGAAATTGGGTTCCATCCTGGCTTTTACATCTGTGTTCAACTTTACTGCTTGTACATTATTATTATTTTTTTTTCCCTATGGAGACTTGTTCAGTTGCTCAGTTGTATCTGACTGATTTGAGACCCCCTGGACTGTAGCCCGCCAGGCTCCTCTGACCATGCAATTTCCTAGGCAAGAATATTGGAGTGGGCTGCCATTTCCTTCGCCAGGAAATCTTCCTGACCCAGGGGTCTAACTCGAGTCTCCTTCATTGGCAGATGGTTTCTTTACTACTAAGCCACCAAGGAAGCCCTATGGAGATTTGGGTGCAACATAAAGAATAGTGTTACTCTGGACAAACCGTTAAACATCTCTGGGCCCTTTTATCCCTTTTCTTGCTACACACACCTGATGAGGGACATCCTCAATTTGTTCATTAAGCAAAGCTTATAATACCATGTCTCCTTCTACTCAGAGTAATCACACAAATGAATTCATACAGATATTCAACTCTCTTGTTTTCCAAGTTACCAGCTAGTACCTTCCTTACCTGTGTCTAATTAATTTTCTGCAGGCACATGTTCCACTTGCTCAGGTGAGAATTGGTTAGCAAGTTCCTGGATTGGGAAAAACAACCTTTTAAAAAATTTATATTCTGAGAAATATGAGGCAGCTGTACTGCAGAGGACCTGGCGGGTGACAGTCTAAACAAAGCAGGCTGGCCGTTACCTTTTTTTTTTTTTAAGGAAAACTGACAGCTCTTTTCTTATCTGTAAAATCGAGATAATACCGTGCTGAGCAAACCTACACAAGCGGAAAGTCCTACCCACCGACTGGGAAAATACAGTTTTGTTTGGCCCCAGCATGGAATATTAGCATCTTCGTTTTCATTTTAGTTCTTCAAAAGCTCTAAGCAGTCAGACGAGGAGCCGGGCTCCTTTTCTTCGGGATGATCACCCAAACTCTAAATGTCCAGGTTTCCCGACCTATAAACGGGATGGTTCATACCATTCACCTGTTTAAGTTAGAGACCACCTCCACCTACGTAGCAGAGCCCTGGGCACCCTTTGCCTCCCAAGTCCCTAAAAAAGCATCTCTGGTTTTGGCTCCAGGCGCCGCCTCGTGGCTATTTCCGTAGGTGCCTCTGAGCTTTAGGGTCCTAGCCGCGGTCGGGCCTGCCCAAGAATTTGCCTAACTCGAGAGCCTATCTGTGCCCCTCCCCTCTACCCGTCGAGGATTTTAAAGACGGCGATGAAGGAGATGGCGTTACGGCGAAGAGGGCGACCGGCGGCCTCGACACTCCCTCTAGGATGGCGGAGTCAGGCGGTCGTCAGGCAGCTCGCGACCCGGAAGTTGCTGCAGGCGCGAGGCCCCCGTTGCCGAGAGCGGGCGCGCGGGGCGGAGCTTGGCGAAGACGGGGAAGGGGTCGCCGGCGCTCCGGCTCTTGGAGTCGGCGGCTCCCTCAGGCCCTGCGACGCGGACGTAGAGCCTGGAGGGCGGGTGGCTGTGGTTCCCGGGGGGCACGCTTAGCTTCGGGCGGAGGCGACATGAGTGCTGCGGGGCTGTTGGCGCCGGCTCCGGCCCCGGCTGGAGCGCCGCCGGCCCCGGAGTACTACCCGGAGGAGGACGAAGAACTGGAGAGCGCCGAGGATGACGAGCGCAGCTGCCGGGGCCGCGAGTCGGACGAAGGTCCGTCTTCCCGCCCGCTGGGCAGTCCCGGGCGGGGGTGGGACGGCTGCGGGAAGGGGTGGGGCTGTCTGGGAGCGGGGCGGGGCGATTTATGGAGCTTGGGGGTCGGCTGGAGGGGCTGCCCGGAGGAGCGCGGCTCCCGGAAGTTCCCCCGACCTGTGTTGGGGAAGGACTTGGTTGAGGACAGTTAACACGGAGAGGGGCCTTAGGGTGCTGTTGTCAGAGCTTGTAGGTCCCTTTAAGGTTCTGCTCGTCTCCTCCCCGCTGTCACCGTTTGAACTTCAGCTCTTCACGGGTTCGAGTGAGAAAGCCGCCATTCATTAGGTCTACTGAGCGCTCCTCGCTTTTTAGTTCCTGAGAGGATCTGAGCAAAAGCCCAGTTTAGCTTCCTAGTTACCAAGGTGTCCCCCCGCCGCCCCGGGAAATGCTTAAGTCAGCCCTGCTTTGGGCAGTGCTGGACAGGTTGGTTAAAAGAAGGAGACCTGGGATCGGTCAGATCGAGTTAGATCTCAATTTGGCTCAGTGAACCCAGCTTAATGATATCAGGCAATTTACGTAAGCTTCTGAGTCTCAGTTTCTCCAACAGCACTGGGGCTGGCAGTAGTACCTGCTTCCTAGCGTAGGTGCCAGGATTAAATGAGCTTCAGGCCTAAAGCAGATCTTCCCTGGTGGCTCAGTTGTAAAGAATCCGCCTGCCAATACAGGAGACACGGGTTCGATCCCTGGGTGGGGATGATCCCCTGGAGAAGGAAATGGCAACCTGCTTCATTTTGCTTGCCTGGGAAATCCCATGGACAGAGGAGCCTGGTGGGCTACAGTCTATGGGGTCGCAAAAAGAGCCAGCGAGGACTTAGCAACTGAACACACACACTGGCTTAAAGCATGTGAACTGGTCCTTGATAAAAATAGTGTTCACGATTGGGGAAACGCGCTCAGGGAGCAGGAGATAGGGATTTGCTTAATGATGGTCAGGTGTTATTTTTTCAGTTTCACAGTCTTTATATTATCATTACTGAAGTTTGGCAAGTGTGAGGAACACTTTTTTAGGAACTGAGGAAGGAGCTGGCCGCAGGAGGAGAAAGGTGAAATTTTGAAAGAACAAGAGAGAAGAAAGAAGAGAGATAAAGAGAAACATTTGGGTGGACTGGTCTGGCTCAAAATAGCGCGGTTGAGCAAAAGCTAGAACAGTTGTCTGGAATCAGGAGTATGTTTTATTAATCATCTCACTGTGAGTGGCAGACAGGTGACCACTCAGGGTAGGCTCCTTTATTGAAGGAGTGAGGAAAAGTGGGATGGAGGGTTGGATCTGCAGCAGGCTTTAAAAAGGCAGCTGTGTGTGCAAATACAAAGTTGAAGGAACTTGCTACAATTCTGGTTGAACTACCTTTGAAGGCAAGGCTTAACCAAGAGAATTTGAAGATGAATCACTTGTATTGCTTTTAATGCCCACAAGGGGGAGCAGTGAAGCAAAAATTGATTTTCGTTTCCCCCTCAAATAGGACTGTTGAAATGAGGTAGATACTCCAGCCATTTGCTTATTCTAAAAACAGTGTTTAAAGTATTCTGAGACATTTTCTGTTTAATTTTCTTCTCCCCTTCCTTCTCCCTTTGAAAATATTTCTGTAGTTAGAGTTCCTTTAGTTGGTTTGGATTCTCCTCTGTATATGTGCTTGCTCGGTTGTGTCTGATTCTTTACAGCCCCATGGACTGTAGTCCGCCAGTCTCCTCTGTCCATGGGATTTCCCAGGTAACAATACTGGAGTGGATTCTTCAGGGCATCTTCCTGACCCAGGGATCTAACCTCCGTCTCTTGAGTCTCCTGCATTGGCAGGCAGATTCTTTACCACTGCGCCACCTGGAATATGTGATGTAAAATCTCATAGGGATTCAAATTGGGCATATACCAAAAGAGGATGCATGTATTAGGTTGTTTGGAGTAGGAGCAAAGCTTGCTGCTTGTAGTTTTCCAGTCTTACACCCACATCTCCTTTTTCTGAACTGCCAGTGTTTCTGCCAAAGTAACAGCCTTGACTGACCAACTGTGTCTGATGCACCCTGTTCTCTGGCTGCACTTCAGATAAAGGCAGGCTCTTTGGATAAGTCTGGCTGTATATGAGTTGGAAATGGAGCTTTCTTGTTTCGCTGATGGCTTCACACAGGTCTGCATTGAGTAGAAATTCATTTTTCAGAAGTCTGTCAAATGTCACTGTATCAAGTGATAACCAACTCTGTGAATTATGATTTTAACAAACCCTTATTCCCTAATTTTGCTCAGACACTGAGGATGCTAGTGAAACTGACCTGGCAAAGCATGATGAAGAAGACTATGTAGAAATGAAGGAACAGTGAGTATGATTTTTTATGTTTCTTCTTTGGAATACAGAATTGACAAGGGCATCTTTAATGGTGGCCTAGTGTGTATGGTGGAGAAGGCAATGGCACCCACTCCAGTGCTCTTGCCTGGAAAATCCCACGGATGGAGGAGCCTGGTAGACTGCAGCCCATGGGGTTGCTGAAAGTCGGACATGGCTGAGCAACTTCACTTTCGCTTTTCATTTTCATGCATTGGAGAAGGAAATGGCAACCCACTCCAGCGTTCTTGCCTGGAGAATCCCAGGGACGGGGGAGCCTGGTGGGCTGCCGTCTATGGGGTCGCAAAGTGTCGGACATGACTGAAGCGACTTAGCAGCAGCAGTGTTTATGGTTTTCACATAGTGCTTCCAAAGACCATGCATGTGGGTACAATTTCCCCCCTTTAAATTTGTCACATTTAACCAGTCTTCCTGTGCTAAGAATCTTTTGAGGGTTAGGCTAGAAAGAACCTGGAGGAAACTTTCCCAGAAGAAGAAGACCCTGGAGGAAGGAAGGGGGGACCCATTGGTTGCTCCCGCCCCCCTTTTTTAAGTGAAAACCGTTGCTTGGAGAGGGGGAATGACGTTTCCCAGCCCCTTGGTTCTCGGGTGGATGTGACCACGCTGAGCACTGGCCAAGGCAGGGTTGCGTGTAGACACCAGGCGAGCCGAGGGAGACCAGGGTGGGGAGCAGGGCCGGCCCGACGCCTGCGCCCGTGCCCCTGCCACTCGCCCTGCGTCCACATCCTGCCTCCAGTGGGGCCACACCTCAGAGCGACTGACAGCACTCCCTCTTGTCCAGCACTCAAGAGAGCACAGCGCAGATCTGATAAGTATTTGTGGAATGTGTTTTGAGAATCTTGCCTTGGCTTTTCAAATTCTTTGACGTGAAGTGAAAGTCGCTCAGTGGTGTCTTTTTGACTCTTTGTGACCCCATAGACTAAACAGTCCATGGAATTCTCCAGGCCAGAATACTGGAGTGGGTAGCCTTTCCCTTCTCCAGGGGATCTTCCCAACCCAGGGATCGAACCGGGATCTCCTGCATTGCAGGCGGATTCTTTACCAGCTGAGCCATCAGGAAAGCCCTCAAATTCTTTATCTTAAACTAGATGATCCACACTCTTTTCCTTATGGAGTGTTTTTGTATGCAGATGTTTTGTGACCATCCTCTGCTTTCTTTACCCTTTTCAGGCTTCGGAATATAAAAGGGAAACTCAGCTAAATCTGTCCAGGGCCGAATGGAGGACTGCTTTAATAATTGATGTGATTTTTCTCACAACTTTAGCCTTGAAACTGTGCTGCTGGCTTTTTCTTTCACTTGCCCTGTCTCCCAAGTTTCTTACCGACTTACCTGGACCCATTTGAGATATATTTTTCCATACCTGTTTTCTTCCCTAATCTGAATTTTCTTATTGTTTACTTCTTGAATCTATTAACATTCTCTTTTAAAGACAGACTGAAGATTCAAAGGCATCGTCTGTCACACTCAGTGTGGTGGACAGTTTAATACACTGGGTTCCAAATACTGGCTTTTTGTGTGCGGTTTATCTATCTCTTCACCCTTCTATACTTGGCATGTTTAAGTGAACATACCCCCTAATATTTGATGATGGTGAAAGTGATTTTAATTAAAATTGAATGCCCTTTGTGATTCAAGGTGAGCACTGAAAGTACATCAGAATTCTCCCTAAAAGAATCTGGGTTTCTGTGTAATTCTCAGATTCTTATTCTTCCTCAGCCTATGGACAGATGGATTGTATTTGCATCTCTAACTTGAGCAATCATAAGGCTATCCTTCCTGTTACCTGTTGGACGGTGTTCTTTTGGGTTGTAAGTCTTTTTCGTCCTCGTGAAATTGAGTGTGTTTTTTTGGTAGAAGCAAAAATATGGCTGAAATGTAATTTATGTGTGGCATTCACAGTTCGAGCATATTTACCAGGGTGCGTAGTTGCCTATGATCCATTCAGTGTGAGGGGGAAGAGTAACACGCCAAGTTCTTTTGCTTCACGTGTGCTGTGTTCTTACCCTGCTGGGGCTGCAATTAAATCCTGCATTTTTACTTTTGTCACTGAATTGCTGTTATTTCTCGGATCATGAAAGAGTAGTGTTTTTAAAAATGACATGAGGGTTTATTAACTTAGTGCTTACACAGCTGTGCTGTCTATACAGAAAAATGTGGTTGGAGGCATAATCTTACTCCTTTCAGTTTATAATCTAGTTTCACAGTTGATATAAGAGCCGTGTTTAATGCTTTTTATGTTTGTGTGTGTATATTACCCTTCTGAACCTTGAAGAAAATGGCATTACACTTTCAATTTTTCTTTATATTCTTGCCTAACACATTATTATTGTCGTTTGTTTATTAAAATTTGTATGTCTTCATATTTGTGGATTTTAGACTGATTCTTTAAAGATGAGAAAACACAGGAGTACCTGCCTTTCAAGAACACAAAAGCCTTATTTCTTTCTGATCCCTTTAGCTGTGGGCATATTTTAAAGCACCAGCAGGCTTTCATTTTCTCTCTCACTAAAGGACATTAATGACATTCCCATAAAAACCCAGGCAGTTTCTGTGTGCAGATTATTGTGGACTTGGGTATTGGATGTTTTTGTCTCTGAGTGTGGCTTTTTTTTTTTTTTTTAACAGGATGTATCAGGATAAACTGGCTTCTCTCAAGAGACAGTTGCAACAACTGCAGGAAGGTTGGTGTGGGATTTAATCCTTTTCTAAACATCCTTCCTAATATTACACACCTTTGAAATCTGTGTATTTCACTTCTCAGCGGGCGTGATTTAAAATTTGGTCTGGTTGATCTTAGCTGTCATTAAAGTAGTCGTTTCAGACTGTTTTGAAATCTCACTGAAGGCCTTCTGCAGAGCAAGAACTGAAAACCACCATGCCAAAAGCTGGCTGATTTTAGGAGAGATGCTTTTACCAAGAATAAATATAATTGTACTGTTGTTTCTAAACTAGATGCTGATGAGTTGTGGGTCATAGGGTGTTTGCTCTCTTTGTTTTGTAAATGGCAGGGGGGTTGTGCCTTCTTGAAGGCTGTTTGCTTCTAGAGGCAGTTCAGCACCGGGTGAAGAGCACAGGCTCTCAAGTCCTGTCATGAGTTTGAATCCCACCTTCACTACTTTCTAGAAATTTTACCTTGGGCACATCACTGTCTCCTCCTTAATTTATCTTCTGTTCTGTGAAATGAAGAAAATGGAGGCAAGTGAGATTGTGTGTGAGGGGCAACCAGCACGCCCGGGCACCCTGAGACAGCTCAGGGCTGGTAGTGGCCAACCTTGATTTCCCCTGCAGGGTGAAACATACTCCTGTGACTTGCAATCACGTATCTCTGTTTTAGTTTTCCTTCTGGTGGGAAAGGAGGTATTGCCAAAGAAGGAAATACGGCCCCCTCTAGCAGGTCCCTAAGGTGTGCTTGGTAGAGTTGAGTGAGGAATTTTGAAAAAGGTGCCATTAACATATCCCACTGAAGCAGTTGTCAGAAAGCAACTTCCCACATGAATTGGGACCCTCATCATTAGCTGCTTCAGGGAAGAGCCATTTGGTCAGGCTCTGTGCTGGAGTGTCACTAGCCATGTGTGGCTGCCTACGTTTAACTAGATAAAGTTAACAACTCAGCTCTTTGCTGGCACTAGCCCCATGTTCAGCTGCTGCATGTGACCGGGGGCCCCGCGCTCGGCGGCCCCGGGTGGCCGGGTCCGGTATCGCCTGCTTTCACCGTTGCACAGCCAGTTCTACTGGACGGCCTTGACCTAGACCGTACTGCGGGGGAACGAGCTTCTTCGCCAGAGGGAGGCCCATGGGCCAGAGCCGCAGCAGCGAATGATGAGGGTCCCTGATGGGTGGCTGCTCCTTTCTTCCACTCCTCACTTGCTTGAGAGTCTTTTTTTTTTTTTTTTTCCTGCGAGCCGGGCGGGGGACGGGGGTTTCAGCCGTTAGCGCTCACGCTGTGCTCGGACTTCTGGTTTTTATTTTTTATTGAAGGATAATTGCTTTACAGAATTGTTGGTTTCTGTCAACCCTCACCATGAATCAGCCATAGGCATGCATGTATCTCCTGCCCCGCCCCACCCCCCAGGCGGATACAGAGCCCCTGTTTGAGTTCCCTGAGCCGCACAGCGAATTCCCATGGCTCTCTGTTACACGGGGTGACGGAAGTTTCCATGTCACTCTTTCTCACCCTCTCCCCACGTTCCTAAGTCTATTCTCTATGTCCGTTTCTCCACTGTTAAGTCTTCAGTCGTGTCCGACTCGGTGCAGCCCCATAGACGGCAGCCCACCAGGCTCCCCCATCCCTGGGATTCTCAGGCAACAACACTGGAGTGGGTTGCCATTTCCTTCTCGCTTGAGAGTCTTAAAACCATGGTTGGGGTGATTTCTGCTGTGCGCCTTGGCCGGGAACCGAGATGGTTCTGTTCGTGGGTGCCTATTCACAGTGTGTATTTTCCTCTAATATTTTTTGAAACATTCTCTTGTCGTTGCTAGAAAATAATTTTAGGAACCAAAGTGTAGAGCGGTTTTATCTTCACAGTAACTATTTTGTGAATCTCCATCAGGTACATTACAAGAATATCAGAAGAGGATGAAGAAATTAGATCAGCAGTACAAAGAGAGGATACGAAATGCAGGTGAGGCTCTCTTAACTGGAAGTAAACCCAGTTAATCCAGATTTTCAGCAATTTGGACGCACTGTGGCCAGAAGAGCCGTTCTCCAAAATGTGTCTCAGACATCCCATCGTGGGGTGAGTTTTGGGAGACTCCAAAGCCGCACTTACGTAGAACTGTCTTACACAGAGCTATTCTTCTTTGCCAGCGAGTGGCCTGTAGTCGAGGTAGTTTTCGAAGGTGCCTTGTGGTCAGGCTCCCTCCATGATGCCCCCAGAGTAGTCATGCACAGTGTTTCATGCATCTGTGTAGTTGGCTTAGCAGATGACAGAGGAGCTGACGTGAAAAAGGATTGTTGGCCGCTTCACTGCATTTTTGAGTTTGCTTCTTCTGGTCTTTTCTTCCAAGAAGACAGGATGCCCTCATGTCATTCCCCTTAAGTATGGTATCAGAAGCATTTAGAGGGAAAGATTGTGTGCCTTTGTTTTGGTCTATTGTGCACAGGAACTGCATTCCTTCAACACATGTGTTGAGCCTATGCTCCATCCCTGCTCTTTGAGGACATATAGCCGTGAAATGCTTTGTCCTTGATTTTAGGAAACTCACCATTTCTTCAGTAGAAGATCTTCAAAAACATATCCAGGTTAAGGAACATCGTGACTCAGAGTCACACAAAAAGTAAGATGTGATCAATGTTGAATTTGTGTGTAAACACGGATCCCTGTGCTTATGGGAAATCTTCTGTAAGTGGTGAGTCTTGAAGCTCCTTGGCTAGCATTTTCTGGGCCAGTGCGGTGCTTGTTCCCGCGGAGGTGAAACTCGCGCCTGGTTCGTAAAGGAGGTCTGGACTCCGCCCTCGAGTTGCTCTCTTCTCGCTGTCTGAGTCATTGACTTTCCAGCCTTGTGTGGATGGAGGCCTTCTTTGCTTCAGTGAGCAGGTGTCCATGTCCACCAGGGCACAGCAGAGGAGCTGCAGGATGTGGGGGATGCAAGGAAAGTGGGGGGTAGAGCCTCCGTAGTGACCCAGCGCCCTCTCACTGCACTGCCACCCCCTCATTCTAAGTTCCTGAGGCGTCTCAGGGCTTTTCTCCTGGAGCCCCCTGTTAGCATAAAGGAGGGAGCACGGCAGAGGCCGAGGGCTTCCTCCCAGCCCTTAAGGGCTTAAACCTCTTAAGTGAGTGTTTACCCTTGGAGCTTGCATTTCCCCATCTGGAGAGAGGAATACTAACGTCTCAGGGAATTGGTTTGAGATGCAAGGAGGGAAAGAAAATTGATGTGAGCCATTTCTCTTAAGTGAGGACTGTAGGCTGGGTGTTGATTTGTTTTTCTTTTTTTTAGGTTACTAGTTTAAAATTTTTGATTTATTTATGCTTTTATGTGTGTTTTTTTTTTTGGCCGCACTGGGTCTTGTTGCTTTGCTCGGGCTTTCTGTAGTTGCTGTGAGTTGGAGCTGCTCTGCGTTGTGGTGCTCGGGCTTCTCACTGCAGTGGCTTCTCTCGCAGTGGAGCGCAGGCCCTAAGGTGCACGGCCTTCGGTAGTTGCAGCGCTCAGGCTTGCTAGTTGTGGTGCATGGGCTTAGCTGCTCCATGACACGTGGAATCTTCCTGGACCGGGGACTGAACCCATGTCCCCTGTCTTGACAGGCACGTTGTTATTCACTGTGCCACCAAGGAAGTTTTATTTAATAAGCACCACTCCGCCCCCACACGCATCCCCAGGTAAAAATGCAGAAGGGCTTCTGAATTGGTCGCATCCTGAGCTTTAAAAAGCACATTTCCGGCAGCTCTGATCCACCTGCTTTTGTTGTGTCTGGTGTCTGGCTGCTTTGAAACATCCACCACCAGCTCTGAGTGCTAATTGTCACTTGACTTGTTGGTGCAGGTGTGATGTCTCAGAATGGCGCAGACCTCACATGTCTGGCCCGTTCACACGGTGTGAGTGCAGCAGTCATAGGAGTGAACATCTGGGGCTGGGTGCACTTGGGCTCGTGTGCGCCATGCTTCCCAGTGCCGCCGGGGTGGGAGTTTCTGAGGGTTATAAAATCGCAAGTGTCTTGTGTGTTTTCTCAGTTAATTTTCTCATTCAGCAATTGTTGGTTGACATTGGAGTCTTCATCTCAAGTTACTGAAACTGTCAGTTTTGTGTGACTGTGCATATGTGTTCCTCTGTGGGTGGATGGGTCGGTGGGACTGATTGGGGTTGCGCAGGAGACCCTGTCGAATGGGATCGGCATCCCCCAGAGTTGTTAGTCCCTCAGCAATCTTTGTGGGCCATCTGCAGCAGCTCTGCAGTCACCCAGAAAAGAGGAGAAGCCACCGACCTGTTTTGTTCCAGGTGCTAGGTTTGCAGAGGCCTTGTAGCCTAGGGGTGGGGGAGCTGCTGGGTCAACAGGCACTAGTCTCCTGGCACACAGTGGGTGCTAAATAGCCAGTGATCCTGTGAGTGGATGCTCTGAGGTGGCTGAGAGGGGCTTGGTGGGTGACGGGGCCTCAGAAAAGGCCTTGCTGAGGAGGCCGCAGTAGATCTGAAACTTGGAGTTGTGGTCAGAGCCTAGAGGGTGTTGTGGGTGGAGGCCTGGGTGTGACCAGAGGCTGGGTGGCCTGTGACCAGAGCCCCAGGAGGGCTGGGGGCCTCTCCCCTCTGTCTGCTTGGAGAATGTCCTTCCTCACCCAGAGAGCCCTGTGCATGAGGACTTAAAAACATCCACGTTGCCTCTGCTTTTGGTGTAACTGAGTTGTTTCTTCTGTCCCTGAGGACTGTTGAGGGTGTGTGCTCAATGAAAGAAGGGCTAACTTTACTTCTATTTTGCCAGGGTAGCTTGGTTCCTGCTGCCCCCTTTCACCCTTGGGCAGAGCTGCTAGAGCGGATTCTGTTGAGAGCCAGATTTTAACTAGTCCTACCTCTTCACATAGCCACACTTTACTAATGGAAACATTTGCTCTGTGTAACGGTGCTCTCAGAAAGCAATTACTGCTTCTAAATGAATCCTAACATCACTATCTAGAAAGATGGCACAGCTTCGTGAATCTAATTGCATGTTTTCTCTCTTTCAGAACTCTTCCTCCAGCTGGAAGTAAGTACCACGGGTCTTCTGGGCTTGCAGGATCTTTGTCAGGGTGGGATCTTGGTCTCCTAACCCAGTGGCCTTTCCTTCATCACCACATAGACATAGGGAAACCCTGCTGGAAGCCCCCATTAGGGTTCTGTTTGATGAAAGGACATTTGGTCTCAGCTCAGAAGTTCCATCTGTTTGCTGGTCGGGCAGCCTGTGCTTATCCCAGGGGCTTAGCGGATGGATACTCACCCCTCACTGCTTTCTTGTTGACTGTCATCTCACGTTACAGCCGTTTGGGGGTACATGGTAAAGAACTTACTTGCCAATGCAGGAGACACATAAGAGATGCAGATTTGATCCCTGGATCAGGAAGATCCCCTGGAGGAGGGCATGGCAACCCACTCCAGTATTCTTGCCTGGAGAATCCCATGGACAGAGAAGCCTGGTGGGCTGTGGTCCGCGGGGTCATAAAGAGTCAGCCATGGCTGAAGCAAATTAGCACGCATGCACGCACTGAATTATAATGGCCTAATAGTTGGTTATATTGGTCCTCAAAGCAACCAGATCTCTGAATCAGCTCAGTTGATCCTTCTGAAACTCGGGATGGCAGGGAAAGACTGATTAAGATCTTTGACTCAGCAGATGTCTGAGTGTTGGTCCCGTGTGAGGTGCAGAGCTGCAGGCAGTGATGAGGGCCAAATCTTCGGTGATGTGCTTGCTTCTAGGGGGCCAGTGTGTGTGTGTGGCGGAGCTGGAGGGTGGGGGGGGTGGTCATGGTTTCTCAGAGCCACGTTATTAGAGACTGAAGTCAGCACAAGCACACACGGTCACGACCCTCAGATCGTGAGGGTCACACGATCCACAGCCTTAGCCTCCAGGAGTCCCCTTGTTCTTCACTTCAGGCAGTGATGAGATTGGGAAAGTAGATGCTTACGCATTTTTTTTACTTAGTATAATTACAGTGTTTGAGTGCCTCTTGGGGTTCAGTCACCTGATAAGTGATCTTGTCCTCTTGTTGGTCTTTATCTTACCGTTAGATCTTACTTTACTGTAAGCATCAAAAAATAGGGTAACTCAGGCTGTCTTGACTTGGTATCTTGTAACTCCTCTTGAATATAGGTATTTCATCTGGAATATACTATTTTCCTTCAAAATTGTGTCTTCAAAAGGGTTTATTTACTAATTTTGAGAAACTTATGTTTTGTTCCACATATAAGCCACAAAGTATAAGATGTGGAAGAGAGGAAATACCTGATTACAAGGGAGGGATTTTCATAAAAACCAGAAGTTGTGTGGTTCAGTTTCATGCGTGCATTGTAAAGCTTGCTCCCAGATACCTCGTTAATGCACGTTGGTGTGTGACTGCTGCTGTCTCTCTTATTTCTAGAAAAGGTATTTTCTTTGTGCTTGTGCACAGAACAAGGCTTTTGTGTTCAGACCCTGGCTCCCAGGGTCATATAGCCACAACCTGTGTTTCTCTTTTGCTTAGACTGAACAAGTGGAAAGAAATTACATCAAAGAAAAGAAGGCGGCAGTGAAAGAATTTGAAGACAAGAAGGTTGAGCTGAAAGAGAACCTGATTGCTGAGCTAGAGGAAAAGAAGAAAATGATTGAAAATGAAAAGCTAACGATGGAACTGACTGGAGGTACGAAAATGATTGAAAATGAAAAGCTAACGATGGAAGTGACTGGAGGGATGAGAGCACTGCAGAGCAGGATCCAGGGCAGTCTGAGGGGGTCTTCGAGGGAGGGAGGCACTCCAGTGCTGACTCCTGCCAGTTCCTCCTCATCAGAGCAGAGTGAGCTGAAAGGGGGGTGGAGGGCAGTCTTTGACATGCTCAGAGTTATAGCTCTGTCTTGTATTGGCTGTGTGACTTTGGTCAAGCCCCTTAACCTCTCTGAGCCTGTTTTCCCCTCTGTAAAATGAGGCTGATTATACCTCATCCCGCAAAACTGATTAGAAATATGAGTGCCTAGTACAGGGCCCTGTACATAACAGGTGTAGGGTAAACTAAATGGTAGACCTTTAACAGTGACTGCAGCATCAGCCTTGTGCTTTATTTGACAAAATTCCTGGGTCAGCTGTCATTCCAGTCTCGCTTATTTTCACGAATTACTCAGGCAAGTTCCTCTGTGCTGGTGGGAATCTCTCTGTTTGTTTGTTTTTTTTCTTTCTACCATGATTATGGAAAAGGCATTGTCTTAACTTTGACCTGACTGTGAGAACAGAGGCTTTGGCTATGTCATCTGTGCTGTTAGATCCCTTCGCCCCAGGTGTTACTGTGAATATTTCAGCAGGGGTAGCTAAACTCAGCTGTTCTCCTGTGAAGCTAGTAAAGTTACGTTAGACTTGGAGCCAGTCCCTCCCTGGCCTTCTAGGATTCAGTCGTCTGCATATGGGAACTCGGCAGGTTTGAGGGAGAAGCAATATGGGCTGCTTCCTCTGTTGCCATATGAGACCAATGACTCTGAGAAGGATACAGGATGGGAATTGGCTTGAACTAGCTGTTTTGGAACTTGGCAAAATTTCTATCAGCAAATACTGAAGGCACGTCAGTGGTGAGTTTGTCACTTGGATGTGTAAATGGCATGCCTTCTACACACCCCCAGATTTACTCTTATAATCATGTGCAGAAGGACCTTGTTTTTCTGTAAGTCCTCGGGGCTGACTTTGAAGAGCTTTATTTCCCCTTTGCTATTTCTGGTGCTGTTAGCCAACACGGCTCTCCCCCTGACATGGACTTTTAGCACCAGTCCCCACGACACACCAGTGACACTGTGGTTGTGTCTAAAGTAGGGGTCTGGCCCTTGAAAAATCTCTTCTAATACCTTCCTCATTGAAAGACTTGGCAAAAGCAATGAATTCCTTGAAGACCACTGACTGCAGCTCAGAAATATGTCGTGGTGAGAATGGATGCTATATAAAACAGCATCTTCAGAACAGCACCGGCTTGTTCTTGTTGAGGCGCTTTTTTGATTAAGCTGAGAGCACAGTGGTGCCTTGTCCGGTCCCAGTCTGCATGGCTGTGTTCTGACCTGCACACCCTCTTCTCCGACGTGGCTCTGGCGGCACTGACGCCTCATCGATCCCCGCTAGCGCCACCAGATGCTTGGAGCCTTCATTAGGCAGGTGGGAAACATTGTCAGTTTACAGCCGCTCCCTTTCCCTCTGTGGGGAAGGCTGTCAGCCCCTCACCTGTGATTTGGCATCCTAAATATTGACAGGCTATAGTCATTGTTGGGCCAGACTGTTTTACAGCCGGAATTTTAACGGGGACAGGAGGCATCCTCAGTGACTTAAGAGGCCGAGCCTGCCAGGGTAGAAAAGACAAATAGGTGCAGGGAAATCATTTGTGACGCAGTAAAACAGACTACAGGAGTGCTTAAAGCCAGCCATGGGCATTAAAGGTACCGATGTCCTTCCTCAAGCCATTTGGTACCCTTGGCATGGAAAGCACTGCCAAGGTAATGATGGAGTGTCTGAAGAGAACGCACTGGAGCTGGAAGGGTAATGAGCGTTTCCACAGATGGTGCTGCCATGGTGTTGGCTTAAAGGCCCGGCTGCCTTCCTCCTGCTCAGTGACTGATTTCACCTCTGTGGATTATGCTCAGTATCAGTGCTGCCTCGCTCTGCCCAGAAAAGATGCTTCTTAAAATTTCCTTTTCTGGTTCAACATGAGGATCTCTTGAAAAACAAAATGGAATGCGGGTCCAATGAGAAACTCAAACCAAATAACCCGTTGGAAAACGGGCATTCCCGGTGAAGTGCTCTATCTGAGCAAGACTTCAGCCTTTACAGCCCTCCATGGGAAATAGTGGGACGTTCTCTAGGCTGTGTGGACCCCTGGTGGAGAACATGGGACAGCTGGGTTGTTCAGGCAGGAAGGCATACTGTCTTAAAGAAACTGGGATGCGAGCAGTGATTCCCTCACCCCGAGTGTGGATGTGAGTCACCTGTGGTCTTGATAAAATGCAGATTCTGATTCAGGGGGTCTGGGGCGGAGCCAGTGATCTGCATTTCTAACCACCTCTTCAGGGCCTATGATGCTGTTGGTCAGACCACACTTGGAGGAGTGAGGTTGTAGACAGGATCACCCCCAAGTGTGAGTTTTCTCTGCAGTTGAGACCAAAGTTATAAGTAACCGTGATAATTAATGAGACCTTCATGAGCTTGAAAGTGTGTGGGGGCTTTATCTTTCTTTGTTTGAGTGTCCCCTTCCTACCTTAGGCCAGCTATCTTTTCTCCTGCTTGCTGACAGACCACTAACCACCACTTTATCTTCTTTTTTAAGTTCATGCCTCACCAGGGGCGTCTTCCAACCAACCTGCAGGCCCCTGTGGAAGCTTTTCATGACCTCAGTAAAGCCTGTGAGGTTCCTTAGAGGATACTGGATTCGTGGCAGGAGCCATGAGTAATGATAACATCAAGTAGGAGCTCTGAGTACTTACCTTGAGCTAGGTGTTATATGAAGATATGAGAACTGCCGCTGAAGGCTGACAGGAGTGGATGAACCCCCAGCCCTGCCTTGAACTTGCTTCTGTGGTGGGGTTTTGTTGTTTGGCCGGGAGCTGATAGAACCCGCTGTGGAGGTCTGATGTGGAGATGGTGCGATGTGCCCCGGGGGGCTGGCACACAGCAGGCACTGAGGCCTGGTGAAGCTCGAACCCCGTTCAGCCCCTGCTACTCCTTCAACTTGACTTAGCAGAGCAGGTGCATGGGAGCGGAGCCCTTTGCTCCAAGTGTCCCGGTGAGATGATGCTTTGACTCCAGATGTGTTCTGTTAACCACCACATGATACTGACTCCAGAAACCCTCCAAACTCCTGTGGCACTGGGTGCTTCACAGAATGAGCTGCCCGGAAGGTCTGTGTCCTCAAGGATCCTGTGTGCTCATAGAAGCCTGACATGGTTTCCGTGCCTTCCTCAGTGTGAGGTGGTTCTGATAGAGGAGTGTCCTAAATAAGTGAAGTAAAGATGTGTCAGGCTGCTTTCTAGTGGCAAAGAAACTTTACAAGACACATGTGGTTGTAGCGATGCAGGAGGGGGCTCACACATCACAGACCAGATGCCAGTGAGCAGGACCCTTGGAAGTCAGAAGAGGCTCCAAACAAACAGCATGGGAGAGAGGCCGGAAGAGGGAACCTGGATTGGGGGTGGGGTGGGCTCGTCCCCCAGACGTTCTTTTCTGGTGCTGCCATTGTGGAATCCAAGCATTGTTGGGGCTTCATCGGTTCACCCTTGGAATGCAACTTCTGTATTGTGGACTGCTGGCCTAATGGAGATCAGTCCCTTCATTCCTACCCAGTTTGACTATGGAAGGCCTCATCTTGATTTTCATCCTCCCTGCCCATCTCTTACAGGCACCCATTTATAGTCACCATGCAGCCTGGGTTTGTGACGTTGCCAGTAGAAAGGGGTGCCTGGGGTTTGCCCCGGGCCTTCAGTCCAGCCCGTGGTTTGGGGGTAACTGCCCATCTGCCACAGTGTTGACCCTGCTGTGGCTTTTCTGTCGGAGATGACGCTGTTTCCTGCTCGAGTGTCTTCTCCAGAGTGGCCACACTCTGAGATCTGAGTTTCAGTCCCAGAAGTTTGTTTTTTGTCGGAGCCCTTGGGACCCCTGGTTAAACCCAGGAGACTGATGTAAACCCAGCCTGTTGATTCTGGTGAGAAATAGAATTTCCAGATCAGCTCAGACCCGGGTGGTCAGCACCTCTCATCTTTCTATGAGAAATCGTCTGTGGAAGCCAACCATGCAAACCTTGGTGGGACTGGAGCAAAGTGAGTTAAGTAAACAGTCTTACTGTGTCGTTTGGGACTGTGATGCTTACACACGTTACTCTTCCCCTTGAGTTACATCCTCCACCTGGACCCTGGGCCAGGACTACTTCCTGCTCACTCTCCTAGACAGTGGTGGGGACATGCTAATTAATTTTAGAGATTTCCTCAGAGCACCTTCCTTATGCTGAAGTAGTCTTTTGGGTCAATTGATTAGGCTAATGCCATGACTACTAGGTCAGTGAAATGGATTGATTTTTACCATTGCAGAAGAGAAATTGATTATGTTTTCTTATCTGTGAGTGATTGGGTGCAGTTATTTTTTTCTGAGTTTTTTGGCTTTGAATGGATCAGCTTATTCCCTTCTCAGCTCTCCGGCTCCCTGCTTGTTTCCATCATGTATTGCCTACCCCTGGAGGGCAGGGCACACTTGGCTGGAGTCTTGGTGCCTTATCTCTGGTGTTCTTTCATCTTCCAAATTAGGTCTAAATGTTGCAAAGCCTCACAGTTGACAGCAGTTGCCTTCAAGTTTGTAATTTCTATTGCAGCTGTTTGTGCCATGACTTTTCAGAAAGATCTCTGTATGGTTTTTTCCTGGCTGAGAGCTCAATGATAAAAACTGGCATTGACTGAATTCTAGTTATGCCAGGCACCATGTTGAGGGCTTTATACCTGTCATCTCATGTCATCTTCACAGCACCCTATAAGGGAAGTGTTACTGGTATTTTCATTTTATAGATGAGGAAACTTGAGATGCAAGAGTATTTACTCAGCCTGCTTGACAAGTCACACCCTGCCACAGGGATTCCCACCCACCGAACCAGTAAGAAACTGGTTGGCATCTCAGCACAGGATAAGAGATGTCTTTTAGGGAGATGGCCCCTCACTGTCCCCCGTTACATCCTCTCGGGCCTTGCACATTGCCGTGGTGGACAGGCCACGTCGAATTCCTTCAGGCTGTCCTGTCAGCTGTTCATGTAGGTGACAGTCACAAATGAACTGGCGGCCCTCAGCATCAGGCTTGACTTCGTCTAGCTGTTCTGTGGGAAATCCTGTGCAGCCAGCCCCTGCTCTGTGCCGGAAGTGTGCTCGGCCCTGGGGTGGAGTTGGAGCGACCAGGAGCTTGCTGGAAGGGCTTGTACAGATGCTTTGGTTGCTGGGAAGAAGGCAGGACTTCTCAGAAGCCATAGCAGCAAGGGGTGTTGAGCTGGCTCTCGGAGGTGGTTGTGTGTAGGAGTTTCCTGGCAGAAAAGAGGAGGCTGGGCAAGGGACAGCACACAGAGGCTGAAGGCATCAACAGTAAGGTGCCTGTGGGTGAAGAAGAGCTGCGAGGCTCGCACAGAGGCTGTGTGCAGGGAGGAGGAGGCGCGGAGACTGACGGCAGAAGTGCAGTGCAGTCGCTCAGTCGTGTCCGACTCTTTGCGGCCCCATGGACCGTAGCCTTCCAGGCTCCTCAGGCCATGGAATTTTTCAGGCAAGAGTACTGGAGTGGGTTGCCATTTCCTTCTCCAGGGGATCTTCCCGACCCAGGGATTGAACCTGGGTCTCTCGCATTGCAGGCAGACGCTTTACCGTCTGAGCCTCCAGGGAAGCCGGCGTGGCCTTTATTCTGTAGCCAAAGCAAGGCATTGTTATGTTCCTGAGAAGAGTGACGTGCTGAATGATGGGATTTGTGTCTGAGGAAGAGCCCTCTGACAGAGGTGGGGTATGAGGAGGGGATGGAGTTGAGAGGTAGTGAAAAGGCAGCATGCATGAGTGCTAAGTTGCTTTAGTCGTGTCTGACTCTTTGCGACCCCACGGACTGTAGCCCACCAGGCTCCTCTGTCCATGGGATTCTCCAGGAAGGAATAGTGGTGTGGGTTGCCACACCCTCCTCCAGGGGATCTTCCCAACCTGCAGCTCTTAAGTCTCTTAAGTCTCCTGTATTGGCATGTGGATTTTTTACCACTGGTACCCCCTGGGAAACCCAGTGAAAGGGCAGAACTGCCATTATCTGGATCTGATGTGTGGGTGAAGAAAGTCACAGATGACAGTTGGCTCTGACAGGGGATGGTGGGTGGTGGAGGAGATGGTCTCAGGGGTGAATCCCAGGGAAGAAGTGGTTCACTCGGAACCTGGGGAAGAATGTGTGGCGGTGTGGGGTGTGGGGTGCTGTGCGACAGGGTGGGTGGAGCTGGAGTGAACTGACAAGACCTCAGAGCTCACCTGCATCTAAGGAGCAGGCCAGCAAAACGGAGCCCAAGGGTGCAAACCAGGAGAGGAGGAGGGACCGTGGGGAGAGATGGTGTGTGAGGGGAGGTGGCCTCCATGACAGCCAGTCGAGAGAAGTCGAGGAGGAGGAGACTAGACCTTCACCAGGAGCCTTCAGGGCCTCAGTCTGGATAGCCGAGTAGTTAAAAACGGTTGTAAAGTAAAATAATGAGAGCTCAGGTTTGTAAATCCCATGTAGAAATGTTGAGACTGAGGCCAGAGGCCTCTCAAGAGCCTATTACACCACTGGGCTTTGGTTCACTCGCTGTCTTTGGGAAGGGCGGAAGTTAGCTGAGACAACCCAGAAGTTCCTTCCAATCCTAAGTGCCTCCTGATTTGAGAGAGGAGGAAGAGGAAAATGCCTGGTTTCCAGGGAGTCGGAGCGAAGCAGCCACAGCTGCAGTGGGAAACTGCAGGGGGGCGGCCGTTTCTGAGGGGGATGTGTGCTTGGGTCAGCTTTCAGAGTCTCCTGAGCACAGGCCCCTCAGAAGTCATCGGCGTCTGACCCAGGCCATGCGTGGACTGGATGTCCCTCATGAAACAATTCTGGTGGGGTGGCTCTGGGGCTGACAGTCCTACTGTGGACTCTTGCTGACTTCAGGTGGCAGTTGGATAGCTTTACCTGTTCCATTCTTGCTGTAGATTCCATGGAAGTGAAACCCATCATGACCAGAAAGTTGCGGAGGCGACCGAATGATCCTGTCCCCATCCCAGACAAGAGGAGGAAACCTGCTCCTGATATCCACTCACATCAGCCCTTCATCACACCTTTTCCTTTAGACCACTGAATCCTTTGCTTTTCCTTCTGATAGACTGAACATGGCCTTTGTCCTACAGGAATTGTCATATTAGGTTGGAAAGCACATATATTTGTCCATGAGATAGAGGGTGGCCGTTTTATGATTGGAGTCCTGTCGTTTCTGCTTTGAGTGGGAGCGAGTCGCAGAGAGCAGTCATTTGGAAAGGGACTCTGGGCTCCTTTTACACTCACTTGGAGATTCGGGACAGCTGAAAATTTCATGTGCCCTTGATTTTTCCACTTAGCAAATGAAGACAGTAACTGCCTCTTGTACTTCAGTCACCTATATCTCCCAAACAGTGGATTGCAAACTGCTGTTCAATTAAAACAAAAAAGTGTTATAGTCAGACATTAAGAAACCCCTCTCATCATGAGAATGGAAAGGGGACACATGATGGGGGGGTTGTTGTTTCCATCTTCTCGAGGAGATGATAAATAGCCATTTGTACAGAATGGTTTTCTTATTTATCTGCCAAGAGGACAGGGCATGACTTCAGGTCCCTTCATCTTCCCAACTGAGAATTGAAGCTGCTAGGCAAGATTATGTATGTGTGTGGAAGTCTCGGATCTTCGGGACAAAAGCACTTCACAAGTGGCAGGTGAAGTTTCTTCCTGTGCCCTGGGCTCTCACTGTTACTGTAGTTACCTGTGGAGTCTCATTTCAGCTTCCTAGCATAGACATTTGTAAGATGGGGGAATTTGGACTCTTAAATACCTGACTCCACCACGTTGAGTAGGAGGATCAGAAAGTTCCGAGAGGCAAACTGTAGGAACATGGTGGAACTTCCTCTCACTTGGTAGATTCTCAAATGCTGGCACTGTCTTGTTGAATTCTGTTTGCTTGGAAACTGTCCTTTTTAGACACATTTCTTTAACTCTCAGTACCCCAGCTCAACTATTTGTTAACAGATGAGCAGATCATGGAGGATCTGAGAACGTTAAATAAGGTACAGTGTGATTTTTTTTTTTATTTATTTGAAAGCTCGGGCTTTATTTTGTTCACATGTTGCTTATGAAATCACTGTGATACCTTTGACACCTTGAGTTGCATCTGAAATGATTTTCTCTAAGATTTTTTTGTTGTTTTTCCTACAGCTGAAGTCACCCAAGAGACCAGGTAAGTGCACGATGTTACAGGCATTTGTGCAGCCTTTTTATTATATTGTTGGAAAAGCATGTGAATGCCTAACAAGGAGTTGTCATAGTTTTCAAAAATAAAACATTCATCATTTACCTAAGAGCAGTCATCATGAAAACCAAAGGGGACCTTTAAGTTCATCCTCCCCTGATTTTTATTTTTAACCCTGCTATGTTAAAGGTACCTTTGTCTTTCCCTTAGGATTTATTGTAAAAAAGACATATGATCCTTTCCTCTCCTTTGTAGGCATTAGGCATAAGATGTCAGCACAGATCCATTTCTGAAAATGAGATCAGAGGATGTTTCAGTGTTGGTCAGTTGGTAGAGTTCAGCACGAGGCATGCTTATCCTGTGGCTTTTCACAGGCTGGTTCTCCTAAGGGCCTTTCTGGCTGCTCCCAGTCCCAACTTATAGAAGAGACAGGCCCAGTGTTTAGGGTGCTTCATTCAGAGCAGCACTTAAGGGTCTTTGCTAGGCTGCAAAATAGAACTCTGGACTGGCAAGGCATTTTTTGCTGTTGTTTTTAAACATGGCAATTACTTACACATCCCTCCATGAGGTGAGTCTTATGAAAGGAAACAAGATTCTTCCCACTCTGAATAATTCCCTTCTGAAAGCCACCATGGTCCGGAGAGAGGTCCTGAGTGTCTGAAGGCCTGGTGGGGTGGGTTTGTGAGTAAGTGTGTGAATTTAGATGATTTGAACCCATTTTAGTTATCAGTGCTATTAGCTTAACTCGATATATACCCCAGTAACCTGCTCTATCTCTTAATATCTCTAGACATGATTTAATTTTTATAAATTTAACGAGATTTTTCTAGTTCTTGCCCATTGGAGCTTCTGATCATCAGTGGTGTTTTAGTCCTACTCTCAGTCACCCTGGGCACATCTTTAGCCTGCCTGAGCCTCAGGTTTCAGTTTCTCTTCCGTGAGGAGGTTAATCTTTGCCTTGCCTGCTCACAGAGTTGCTTTGAAGATGTGATGTACAAGAATTTTGTTGAATTTCCATTTATTACAGGGGTAAGAACTTGAGGATCATGACTGTTGCCCCCTTATAAATAGCATTTCACTTAAAGCATGTTAGTGGATGGACTCACATGCTTGTGACACGCTTAGTCATGGGAATATCTCTTTGGTTCTTCCAGCATCCCCGTCCTCTCCCGAACACTTGCCCACCACCCCTGCAGAGTCTCCAGCCCAGAGATTTGAAGCTCGGATAGAAGACGGCAAACTGTACTACGATAAAAGATGGTAAGTTCTATGTGAACATAGGTTACTCATTAGTATCTCAAAAGAACCGTTTGGAAGGAGGGCCAGGGCTGTCTCTAGTTATTATTTCAGAGCATGGCTGCTGCTTAACTAAAGGTGGAGGGACATTAAGAAGTGTGTGGGGAGTCTTGGATTGATGCTGCTTGTTAGATCTCTGAAGGCAGTGTTCCCCAAAACATGTTCTTCTGGTCATGCTGCTGCCACCATATTAGAACCTGCAGGCTTACATCTTTTGTGGTGCCCCTGTAGACTGGGGTCAGGGTTTATGTCCCCCTCTTCCTCCCCTTAACTGTGCCCTCTGCATGCTGAAATTAATAGGGGTTCTGTGGAAGAAAAGATTCTGTGGTCAGGTGAGTGTGGGCAGTGGCTGTGTTAACTAAGATCAGTGGGTTTCATCATTGTAGCACTCCGTGTCTTCTGATACGCTAATGTACACTGAATTGATGAGATGTTACTCAGTACTGCTTATCTGACAAGGTACCCTTTTACACAGGCTGTCCTGGTGGCTCAGTGGTAAAGAATCTGCCTGCCAGTGCAGGAGATGTGGGTTCAGTCCCTGGGTTGGGAAGATACCCTGGAGGAGGAAATGGTGACCCACTCTAGTTTTCTTGCCTGGGAAATCCTATGGACAGAGGAGCCTGGTGGGGTCGCAAAAAGTAGGACATGAGTCAGTGACTGAGCATGCGTGGACCCTTTTACACACCACATCCTGCAGCACAAGTATTCCAGTGAAAGTACTTGGGAGAGGTGTAGCCTAAAACATTACTAGTTTAGATTGAAGACGGTTTGAAACCTTCAGGCCACCATTGTGGTCATTGGGAAGGAAATAGCAAAACAATATGAAAAACCTTATTCATGCATTTGCTCTTTTTGTAAAGGTTTCCTACTGTGTGCTCTGTGACTGGTCATCAGCTAGGTGTCAAGTGACCTGGACCCTGCCGTCCTTTCTTTAAATTCTCAGTTCCTCCTCTTCTTCATTGCCCACGTGTAGGCACACTGTTGCTAAGGTTAAGTCCCGGCGGACACGTTTTCCTTCTGCCTTCTACTTCTTTGTGTGGAGAATGTTTCTCTGGGTTATTGTAGGGTCTCTGTAATTGCCATTTATAATGGTTATGTAATGTTTTGAGTTTCAGTATTTAAACCAAAATTCTAAAATTAGTTGTTATTTTGAATGTTTTGAGGTTTCTTTTAAAAAACAGAAAAAAGCCCCAATGTTAAATGTCTGAAGTTGGTAAAAATGCTCAGAGACCTAGTGGTGCCTGAAGTAAAGCAGTTCCACCCATGAGGTTGCAGTGAGTTAATAACCCAGTAGAGGAGGAACGCGGGATCTGTCTGTTAGCCTGATCTTGGTGACTTCTGCCCCTGTCATTTGATTCTTCGGTGTCCTTCTAAAAGGCCAGTTGTGTTTTCTAGGGTTGCTTGTCAGAACACAAGCACCACTAGGTGGCAGGCCCCGACAACTCAACACATCAAGGGGCAAAATAAGATGAAAAATGTTTCTAATAATGAAAACCAAATAACCTTTAAAGATCAAGCGCACACATAAGAACCGTCTTCAAAGATGATGAGATTTATCACTAACGTCTTTACGAATCTGTGAGTCTTAAAGCCCTGTGATATTTCAGATGATGTTCATTTTGTCATTGCGTCGCTTTCTGTCTTCCTCCTCCTACGGCTTAGTCCTCAGATTTACGAGATATGAAAACGCAGTAAAATAAAATTCTTTGTTTTTCTAAAGAAAGGATCCACAGTGATGGGGGTTTCACAGTGTAGACCGTGGTCAGGTGGGATGTGTCAAACCACCTAAGCGTTTGGAAGGAATTTCACTGTCTTTCTCCCAGTGGCAGCAGAGATCTGTCAGGTGTCTGGGAGCATCTGATAATTTCAGTGACTTTCAGGCTGCTTACTCTGTTGTTAAGTATGGTGACTGTTGTTTTCTGCATTCTTTGTGTTCCTCTTCTGTGGCCTTGCCGGTCAGAGTTCACGTCACATCTGCTGAGAGAGGGCCCCTCCCTTTCTGCTGAATCTGGAAAGTGTGTTTGCCAGAATCCTGGCTGGTACACTCCCAGTGCAGGACTGGCCTCTCGCGTCTCATCAGGCTCCTTATGTTTGGCTCTGTGTCCTTGGCAGTTTGGAGGTTCTCTTTCTTCCTTCTTTCTCAGTAGTCCTGGCCTGTGGCTGAGAGGTCAGTTCAATTGCTTTCTGCTCTTGCTGGTGGCGTGAAGTATTTTGGTGAAACAGTATTTCTGGCAAAACACATTTCATTGAGTTTTAAATGACTTGAGCACAATGAGTGTGATTTGGGCTGCCCATCTTGGCCTGAACGCTCATTTATCAGGCTACGTTTCACTTGGGAAGATGAGTGTCTGCCCTTGCCTCTGGGTACACTGCTTTTAAGATACTTTATGTCCTGCTGGAGGTTTTCCTCACGTTTTGATTTGTACTAATGACCCTCCTTAGAAAGCGCTGTGAAAGTAGCTGAGATTTTAAGGTGACTCACTGATGGTGCCTGTGCCGGTGGACTTTATTTTCTCTCCTCACTTTAAATCTGGGGCTGCTAAAGTGAATCCAGTGAGATCACCCACTTGCATGGGTGGATATAACCCTCTGGCCTGGCTGTTATTAATAACTCAAAACAGTGACTCTTTTTTTATTTTAATTGGAGGATAATTGCTTTACAGTGTTGGTTGATTTCTTCTGTACAGCACCTTGTATCAGCTATAAGTGTATGTCCCCTCCCTCTTGAGCCTCCCACCCACCCCCACCTCCCCAGCAGTGCCTCTTTGCAGCTGGAATTGGGACTCCTTGCAATCCTGTGATTGTAACATGGCATTCGTTTTTGGGGGGAAATAATATCAGGATTCCCAGGAGGATACAAAATTAAATTAATTCTACCCCTTCTCTGCCCCACTTTTTGACCCACCTCCTAAAGAAATTGCTTTCTTCAATAATAGTAGTGGTGGTTCTAGTTCATTGGGTTTAATAGTAGAGGCAAAACTTTAAGGACTTAATTGTAGGGATTCCCCCAGGTCAGAATTTCCATTAGTAATAAGGTCAATTTGACGTTTGGGGCTTGTTCTCTGAGGCTATTTAAAATATTTTTTCAGCAGAGATGAGTTGTAGCTTATCAAACAACTTAATTGGTTTAAAAAAAAGGATACATTTTTGCTAATTTAACTCAATTTTTGTTGCTTTTTTTTTAACATTCTTTGAACATATTTTGAATTTTCCACTATTATTTTATTAGTATTTAGAATTAGCAAGTAAATTTGTACGGTAAGGTTGCCATATACTTTCTGATTTCATCTTGAAAACTTACCCCTCCCACCACCCACTATGTATGAGCACTTTAATTTCTGAGGACTTGTTTTTTCCCAGAGAATTTGGGTAATTAGTAGATTTGATATCCAGGGATAATGGTTCCCCAAGACCACTTTGTGTTGCTAGAGAACCCCCCAGAGGTCTCAGAGCCTCTGCTTCAGAAGGACTGGGGAGTCAGCTCGTTTGGGAAACAGTGCTGGCCAGCTCTGCTGTGGAGCACATGGTAGGTACGGGAGCATGTGAGCAATGGTGGGCATTCAAGCCACCACGGTTCAGAGACCCCAGAGCAGGCAGGTTTGAGAGGTGGCCAGTTATGTTAAGTCCTAGACCGCTTCCCAGGCTTACCAGACCAGATTGCATTTACTCCTGATACCTTCTTTAAAGCCAGGCTGGTGTGTTGGCATTTGGATGCTGAGTGGATCGGAAGGAAGATAACAGTGCATCCCAGGACAGGTGTTGTGACTGTCTCCCAGAACTGTCTTTAACAGATATTAAAACATAATTTGTGACATTAAGTTTTTTTCTTACCATTTTTTGGTTACTTTGGTATTTTCCAGTATTGTGGCTTATAAGAAAGTACAGTATGCTTTTTAATACAAGTAATGGGGCTTCCCTGGTGGTTCAGACAGTAAAGAATCTGCCTGCAATGCAAGAGACTCAGGTTTGATACCTGGGTCGGGAAGATCCCCTGGAGAAGGAAATGGCAACCCACTCCAGTATTCTTGCCTGGAGAATTCCGTGGACAGAGGAGCCTGGTGAGCTACAGTCCATGGGATTGCAAAGAGTCAGATATGACTGAGTGACTAATGCTTTCACACTTTTTTACCTATTTATTCTGAAAAGAAAACCATGCGATGAAAGAAATATCATTCTTTTCTGAGGTTTTTGTCTTACATTTTGGTGAAATTTTAATATATATTCAATAGATATTTTAATATATAAGCTTACCTGGTTTTATTCTGTGTATATGATACACAGGTAACACACTATGTTGTATTATGCGCCCAGGGATATAATGGATGAAGCTTTTTTCTTGACTTAGCAGTATATTGAGCACATTTCACACTAGTTATCTATTTCTATACCACACCCACCCATGACCTTTCTTTATTAAAGTATTTAGAAAGTAGTATCAGGGTGACTTGAGGCTAGTTGCTTGTTGTTTTGTGTTTTTTATCTCTTTAATAACTCATAATCCCCATAGAGTAGCTGTGAATATTCTCCCCTTTTGTTTTTATTCTAACCATTACTCACAACTTTACCATTTACACAGGATGGTTGGCTTAGATGTGGGAGGAAAACTCAGGTTTGAGTTTTGCCGTGAACCAGTTCACCCTTTCTTCATGTGCTGTAACGTTAACATATTTAGCATTATGGAGGTCCCCTGACCCAGTTTACCAACTAATCCCTGGCCAAAAGCAACTTTAAAGCTGAGTCTAAACCAGTATTGCTATTCTAATTGAATCTATGATTTTATTTCTTTTAATAGTGTTCTCAGGAAATAAATTGACTTGGAAACTTGAGTTTTCAGCTAAGTAGCACGTTAAAGAGTGCTTAGAACCTTGATTGAAAAAAGCCCATTTGGGCGTGAAGTGAAAGTGAAAGTCGCTCAGTTGTGTCCAGCTCTTTGCAACCGCATGGACTATACAGTCCTTGGAATTCTCCAGGCCAGAATACTGCAGTGGGTAACCATTCCCTTCTCCAGGGGATCGTCCCAACCCAGGGATCGAACCCAGGTCTCCCACATTGCAGGTAGATTCTTTACCAGCTGAGCCACAGGGAAGCCCTTGTGGGCGTGAAGTGCCTCCTTAACTGGGATTTCCTGGCAGTGGATTATTTCATTGTACCAGCAAAACAGAGTCTGTGTTCTTCCCCAGCAGAAATCATGGTAAGATGGCGATGCTTTGCCGGGAGATGCATTTTGGTGGAAGCTACATGAGTTGGTGGGTCTGTTAAGTCAACTCTGCGCAGCCAGAATGAATCAGAGGTTACATTCTTGACTGTACTGGACTGGCCCAGGCCAGAGTTGCCAGCAGCACCTCTGCTGATGTTTCTAGCTCTGGTCACACAGCAGCTGCTTCTTCCCCTTGTGGCAGCTGTTATTGACTCATTTGTGCTTTGGCCCTGGTTTCCTCACTTTCATCCTTGGCCTTGTCCCTGAACTTGTAGAAGAAAGTGAAGATCGTCCTGCACTACAGGCCAAGAGAATAGAGGCAGAGACTGAAAGGGGGAGAGACTGGTCTTTTCTCTGTCCGTTCTCCCAACTGACCAGGGCAAAGTTAGGTACCTTTCGGTCCAAGTCTAATGCTCAGAACTTCACCTAAGTTAGACTTAGCAGGTATGAGTATTTAATAGTCATTGCCACTATATTCAAAGCTCCTGACAGCAGAGACCCTATGGCCTTGTTGGCTGTCTGCCTCCACCCTCCAGGGTGGCCAGTGATACAGTGAGTGGCTAATGAGTATTTGTTGAATAAGCAGTCAGAATAAGGGCTGAATTTGGCCTGTTGTCATGTTGAAAAAGGCAGGCCAAATTTACTTATTTTCTATTTGTTATCTGAAAAAATAGAAAATAATGGAACAGTGTGTTCAAGCCCATCTATTCATTTTGTCCACCCTCCCTCCTCAGTGTTTTGGGGATAGAGATAGAGAGTGGGGACATAGGTTTTACTTGAAAAATTATAATTTACTTTTTGAACTGGTTCAGTTCAGTTTCTCAGTCGTGTCCGACTCTTTGCGACCCCCTGAACCGCAGCATGCCAGGCCTTCCTGTCCATCACCAACTCCCAGAGCCAACCCAAACTCATGTCCATCCAGTCAGTGATGCTATCCAATCATCTCATCCTCTGTCATCCCCTTCTCCTCCTGCCTTAATCTTTCCCAGCATCAGGGTCTTATTCAAATGAGTCAGCTCTTTGCATCAGGTGGCCAAAGTATTGGTGTTTCAGCTTCAACATCAGTTCTTCCAGTGAACACCCAGGACTGATCTCCTTTAGGATGGACTGGTTGGATCTCCTTGCTATTCAAGGGACTCTCAAGAGTCTTCTCCAACACCACAGTTTAAAGGCATCAATTCTTTGGCACTCAGCTTTCTTCATAGTCCAACTCTCACATCCATACATGACTACTGGAAAAATCATAGCCTTGACTAGATGGACCTTTGTTAGCAAAGTAATGTCTCTGCTTTTTAATATGCTGTCTAGATTGGTCATGACTTTCCTTCCAAGGAGCAAGCATCTTTTAATTTCATGGCTGCAGTCATCATCTGCAGTGATTTTGGAGCCCAAAAAAATAAAGTCTGCCACTGTTTCCACTGTTTCCCCATCTATTTGCCATGAAGTGATGGGGCCAGATGCCATGATCTTAGTTTTCTGAATGTTGAGCTTTAAGCCAACTTTTTCACTCTTCTCTTTCAATTTCATCAAGAGGCTTTTTAGTTCTTCACTTTCTGCCATAAGGGTAGTGTCATTTGCATATCTGAGGTTATTGATATTCTTCCCGGCAATCTTGATTTCCAGCTTGTGCTTCATCCAGCCCAGTGTTTGTCATGATGTACTCTGCATAGAAGTTAAATAAGCAGGGTGACAGTATACAGCCTTGATGTACTCCTTTTCCTATTTGGAACCAGTCTGTTGTTCCATGTCCAGTTCTAACTGTTGCTTCCTGACCTGCATACAGGTTTCTCAAGAGGCAGGTTAGGTGGTCTGGTATTCTCCAGTCTTTCAGAATTTTCCAGTGTTTATTGTGATCCACACAGTCAAAGGCTTTGGCATAGTCAATAAAGCAGAAATAGATGTTTTTCTGGAACTCTGTTGCTTTTTCAATGATCCAGCGGATGTGGGCAATTTGGTCTCTGGTTCCCTTGCCTTTTCTAAAACCAGCTTGAACGTCTGGAAGTTCACGGTTCACATATTGCTGAAGTCTGGCTTGGAGAATTTTGAGCGTTACTTTACTAGTGTTTGAGATGAGTGCAATTGTGCGTTGGTTTGAGCATTCTTTGACATTTCCTTTCTTTTGGATTGGAATGAAAACTGACCTTTTCCAGTCCTGTGGCCACTGCTGAGTTTCCATATTTACTGACATATTGAGTGCAACACTTTCACAGCATCATCTTTTAGGATTTGAAATAGCTCAGCTGGAATTCCATCAGCTCCACTAGTGAACTGGGTCACATAGTCTTAAATAAAAAACTGAATACAGAGTTGGTTTTCCAGCCCTTTCCTTGGCCCCCTTTTCCATTCTGCAGTGGGACCAAGAATGTAGATTTTAGACTTAGAAGATTAGGAGGTTGTCTAATCTAAGGATGGAAGCATTGAAATTAAACCTGAAATCCAGGCTGTTCCTCAAATATAAATTAAGACTCCTTTAATTATATTTTTTGTTGTGGTATTTTTTTCTTCTTCCCTCCTTTTCTTCATTTCTTTATTACTTTCTTAAATTTGTGCTGGTACTTACATACTTAAAATTTTTAAGAGGGTAAAGTGAAAGTGAAGTGAAAGTTGCTCAGTTGTGTCTGACTCTTTGCAACCCCATGGACTATACAGTCCATGGAATTCTCCAGCTCAGAATACTGAAGTGGGTAGCCTTTCCCTTCTCCAGGGGATCTTCCCAACCCAGGGATTGAACCCAGGTCTCCCACATTGCAGGTGGATTCTTTACCAGCTGAGCCACAAGGGAAGCCCTTATGTTAAATATTCTTACCCAAAAAGAAGAAAAAGCTACAAAACTATAGTTATAATAAAGAGGGTGGGAGGAAACTTTGGGAGGAGACAGATGTTTATGACTGGTGGTGATGATTTCATGGGTATGTACTTATCCTCAAACTCACTGATTTGTGTACATTAAATATATACCACATTTCACATGTCAATCACATCTCAAAAAAGTGGTTAAAAAAATAAATGTATGTCTTGTTTCTGGCAGGTACCATAAGAGCCAAGCCATCTATCTGGAGTCAAAAGACAACCAGAAACTGAGCTGTGTGATCAGCTCTGTCGGAGCCAACGAAGTAAGGACTGAACTCCCTCACCCTTTAGGAATGCAAAATGGGACAAACCTGCAGTGCAAGCACCACCAAGAGAGTACAGTGGAATCACTCTGTTGTATGTGGGTTAGATTTGAAAGATAGCACTTTCAGGCAGAAAATGCACATATTGCTCTTGAAAATCTCTTACTTTGTATGACTACAGTATATGCAGGTTTGTATATTCCTTGTGATTGTGAACTTCCCACAGAGTAGTTGAGTTGGGCACCACTGAGATAGACTGCAGGAAGGAACACAAGGCAAGTCGGTTTGCTCTCTACACGTTCAAATCATGCCACTTTTTAAGGAAACAATCCACTGAGGATGGGACTTGCCTGTGGAGCCAGCTCGTCTTTGTTGTTCTCTCTCTCGAGCTCTCATGGGTACTCAGATTTGTTTCTCGCTCTGAGGATCTAACAAGACACCTGGCACACAGTAGGTGCTCAGTAAATGGGTGGTGGTCTAATCTGACCCACACGCCACTCATCGCCTGCTGTCTCTGTAATCCTGCATGTCCTGTTGTGCTTCTGAGCAAGGAGATGCTAGGCTCATATCTTCAGGGACTGGTCTCCTCCAGTTACTCTTGTAGGATGGGGGCTGGTTGAAAGTCAGCTCAGAGGGTCATACTCTAGGACGATGAGACTGGCCTGTGAGTTCTCCTGCTGGCCCTTCATTAGCAGGGTGTCAGCAGTGTGTAACTGGGTATTGTTAGTAGTCAAAAAACAGTTTAAAACTTTAATAGCTGGTTTGGCTTAATCTTTTATCAGTCCACAAATGTCTGCAAAGAAATTGATTTTTATGTGTCAACCCTCCAACTTATTCGTGCCAGTGCACAGTAAATCTAATGAAGCTGGATTATGAAATAACTTAAGCCTATTCTATTTTCCCAGCCTCCTGAATTGAAAATGCCCTCCAATGTGACTAGTTTGCAGAATGATTGTTTACTTAGTAGTTACGGAGAGCCTACCAGATAAATGAATGTCATTTTTCTGTAGGCTTGGGATCTGTGTGTCATCCCGAGCCAAGTCAGTACAGGGCATCTCAGAAGCCTGCTGTTCCCTGGCAGTAGGCTTTGCGATTTCACAGCCGAGCACATGTGCCTGGCCCTATGGGCCACTGTACAAGGCGCATGTGGCTTCCTGGTACCTGAACCTAACTTCAGAACCTGTGCTGTGACACCTCAGGACTTTTCAGGAAAATAGAAAAGCAAGTTAGGTTTTTGCTTTTTCTTTGGAAGATTGTCACCCTTTGACAGAGTATCAGCGAGGTCTGACAAGGGAACAGTGAGACTGAGACATGTCTCCTGGAGGGGAGAAGCCTCAGTGCATCGGAGCCTTGCAACTCTGGCAATGGGGAAACTTCTCAATTCTTGGAAATATTTCAGCTCATTTTTTTAGGTCAAATCCTAAGCGACACTGAAGCTACTTGGCCGCTGCATAACTTGACCGTGGGCAGATTCAGTGTGTGGGTTGTGGGTCTGAGCATGTTGGTGACTGCCTGCTAGCTCAGCCCTCCTTGGAGTCAGTTTTCAGTTTAAAATGGTTCTACAAGGTCCTTTAGAAGCTTGGCTTCATGTGAGGTCTTTATGTTTAAACCAGTGTACCTGACTAAAGTCTTTGTGTTGTTAAATGAAACTGAAAATAGTCCAACCCCCATCCCCTGGTGGATCAGATGGTAAAGAATCTATCTGCAATGCAGGAGACCTGGGTTCGATCCCTGGGTCAGGAATATCCCGTGGAGAAGGGAATGGCTACCCACTCTAGTATTCTTGCCTGGAAAATTCAATGGACTGAGGAGCCTGGCCGGCTATAGTCTGTAGGGTTGCAAGGAGTCGGACGTGACTGAGCAACTTTTTTGAATAAGTTTTTTTTAAACCTGAAAAATGAATGAGGGAAAGAGGAGAGAGATCTGTGAACTTGCACTTGCATATATGGTGAGATGCAGATCTTTAAAAGACTTACATTACACTTTTATCTCCATCTGATTGCATGTTAGGTACATGGTTGAGAGAACAGGTGAGAACAGGAGTCAGGTGCTGTGGTTTAGTGAGGAAGAGCAAAGGGCCTTGATGTTGTGTGCCAAGGTTTCCATCAGACAAGTGGACTCGGCCTTGCTCTTCTGTAACGCAGGGATGATGCCAGTACTTATTTCTGAGGGTTTTTCTGAGAATGAAGGAGCTCAGCTTGGTCATCACAGTGCCTGGCCCCCAGGAATTCCTCCCTCAGGTGGGGTGGGTGATGGAGGGGTAGCCCTCCTTCCCCTCCCTGGCTGCAGGATGCTGTGTACTGAGTGCCCCTGGCAGCTCTGGCAGGCCGCCTGCTGGAAGAGTTCTTTTTCAGTTCTGTAGAAGAATATACCTGCCCTGTCCAGTGCCAGACGTCTGATCGCATCTGTGGGAGAATGATACTATCAGGAGAGAAGGACTGTCTTAAGCTAATTTTGCCTTCTTAGCATCCTAATTGGACATTCACTCACTTACAGGCATTTTTGTTGTTAAGTTTTCTATCCTTTCTTGTTATGACCATTAGTCGTAATTGCCAGGAAACTAGAGTTCTGGAAGGCTGTAACATGAAAGTCCCTTTGGGCAAGGAAAATATTTTCCTATTTGATTAGGAATTTATTTATCAATATGTGTGTCTTAATATTGCTAATGCTGTAATCAAACCAAACCAGAAAGAGTCCTTAAGATGGAGGCAGAAATGAAAAAGAAACTCAGGATCACTGTGCTTTCTGTTTTTGTACTCAAAGTTGTAAAAGAGATGACTGGAAGAAATGAGTTCAAGGGCGGATGCCTGCTGTCTGCAGTGGAGGCCAGAGGTCAAGGAGGTGCCTGTGAAGGCCTCTTGGGTTGAGAGGAAGAGGTTGCCAGCTCTGTGCTGGCACCTAGTTCATGCAGACATACCTGTGCTCTGAAACATGTGTCCCTCAGTACTGGCCTCTCATCCTGTTTCTTTTCCTTCTCCCCATACAGATCTGGGTGAGGAAGACAAGTGACAGCACCAAGATGAGGATTTACTTGGGCCAGCTTCAGCGTGGGCTCTTTGTGATCCGCCGGAGGTCAGCGGCTTGATGTTCTCCAGTATTCTTCTTCCCTCGACCCCTTTTCTGGAATGGTTTTTGGTTTTGTTTTGTTTTCTTAATAGAAAATTTTTAACTTGGGAATGACTCCTTGGCCTTGGCAGATGGAGAACACTATGTGGATTCTGCAAGGCATTCTGGTGGCCAGCCCCATCCCGCCTTGCATCATTCTTTCCCTGCGTCAACTTCTTCCAGTCGTCCGTCACCCTGAGACTGTTGTACTCTCCGGAGCATTGGGAGTTGGCTTTACCAATTTTCTTTTTTTTTGCTTATGCTTTGTCTTTTTTTCCTCTCTTTTAATGCCGCCTCTGATTTGAAGGGACAGTTCTCTCTATTATCTATAGGTCTGTCTTCCATGGAGAGGAGCAGGAAGGGGTACCCTCTGCAATGCGTTTTCACCTTTTGAATCCAATCAGTGGATCACGTAGGTCCCTTCCTTGTCAAGCGCAGTTCGCTGCTTCCCCAGAAGCTTGGGGCAGAGGTCCTAGCAGAAGGAGAGTCATTCTCCGGACTCAGCCTTCTCAGAGAAACGAATGTCTTGTGTTATGTCTGTGTGTGCCATCTGTTCTGCTGTCTGAAAGACAGGAAAATTCGCGTGGGAGACAACGTGCACTGCAGTAAACGGGGCCAGGGCAGGGAGAGTGTTTCGTATTCATAAAGTGCTGAAGGTACCATATTTCAAATGTTGTTTAAGGCAAGTGGTTTATTCACACAGATTTATTCTAGCTCAGTCTGGAACACGAAGTGATCATTTCAGAAATTTTAGTGTGTAGTTCACTGCTGCTGTCTCCTGCTCCCAAGTAGATGAGGTGGTCCCTGCTGCCAGCTGATGATTGGGTTGTCTGTGGCTGGTGGGGAGGTGAGATAGATGGTGGAGTCATCAGTGATCTGTACACTCTTAACTCGGATCACACTCTTGTTGCTGATGCCAGTGTTTCACCTCGGCCATTCCAAACCCATGAAATCTTGTCAGCTCCCAGGAGCTCTGGCCCAGGTTGGAGACGAAGAAGGCTGTGACTGCCATTAAACCTACTCTCTCCCTAAATGAATCCTGATGAAACAGCCTGCCCTGCTCATGTTCCTTCACTCTCCAAATTGGACAGATGACTTACTGGCTGATTGTTTGCTTTAATATTCTTGTTGCCATCTTAAGATGTTAAAGTATTTGGGTCAAGTGTTAGCCTCTCTGAGCAATCAGTAGACGTGATGCATCCTAGGAAACCTTTGTAAGCAATTCCCTTGGTCTCAAGTGATTGTCTTCGTGTTATCTCTTGATACACATGTCCCACAGTAGGTTGTGGAGCTGTGAGGACAAGTAGGTTACCTTCTCCAGAGTCCTGGCTTCAACAGAGACCAAACCTTAGTGACCCAGAGTAAAGGCTTATACAGGTACACTTGAGTTTTAATTTATAATCCGGTTTTTCTCTCATTTTCTTCCGGTGTTGGAGTCTCATTTAGAAAACAGGATAAATGACGTCATTTATCAGAAGTTGCCTGGGCGTTCTGAGTTTCCTTACTGCCTTCCAGCCTCCCGCGGTGATTTTTACAATAGTGAGCCAGATCTGCACTAAACAGGGCCTTCACCTTTTATTTTTCCTTGGCAACCTTTGCTGTAAGGGCGGCCCTCTCTTGGCTGAATTTTCACTGTGGTGTGTGTCACCTCCCGTAATATCAGGGAGCTCTTTGTTATCCCCTTGCACACTGTCCTGGAAATGTATTTAGATGTATTTTGTGTGTGTTGCCATCAAACATGGTTTAAAAGTTGTTTTTTTTTTTTTTTTTTTTTAATGATTGTCTTGTCTTCCTACCACTGCTTTAGAGTTTCTTTGGGGGAGTGGTGGTGGTAAGAATTGTATTGATAACAGTTTTTCAGCATTGGAGCAGCAGCAGCTCACCTTGTTTTCTGGCCTTGCCTGGTGCTTCCTTTGTGCTTTCATGAAAAGATTAGTGATTTGAAGACCAGACACTTTATCCTTTTGTCTTCTGTAAATTGGAGGATGTTTGAGGCCATGCTTCAGCATGGACTCCACCACACCGCTACCTTTTCCTCAGTATCCCCACAATCCTTAACAGTTATGATGTAGTGAGAATGGGGGAAACCATGTGGTCCACTTGGGACATGGCACAGTAAATTATGTTCCTGATCCTGGCAGATTTGCTTTTTATTGAGTCACTCCAGAGATGAAGAGTCAGCAGTTCTGCCCCTCAGATAGACCCCTATGGTTGGTGACCAGGGAGGGAAGACCCCCCTTGCTAGGAGACAGAGGTGCTTTTATGATGGGCAAAGTCAAACAAGACAAGGAAAAAACAGATTCTGAGCTTCCTAGAATAAGAGGGGCCTGGCTTTTAGCCCAGGTGGTTATTCTTCTTCCAAAAGGCCTTTATCTCATCAGGGCACCAGATAAATTCCCAGATTCAAACTATTTCCTGAAAGTGGTACTTGGATAAAGTTTGGTCCAGACAATTCCAATCGATAACCTATACATATGTTAATCTGATCAAGAACCTGTGTGTGTGTTACTGTGTTCAAGAAGCTGTATGTGTGTGATCCTGATCAAGAACCTGTACACGTGTTTTGTTCGAGGCATCAGCCTCAAGTGTTACCTGCAGTGTTTGCTGCAGGGGTATCCTAATATTTATTTTACCTCCACCTAGGAGTTGTGTGTCTCCCTCACCTCCCTCTCTAAGCCAGTGTCCTCTTGAACAGTTTCCAGATTTCTGTAGCCATACCAAAGCCAGGATATTTTCCTTGATTTGGATACCAGTATTTATAGAAGTCTAACTACCTAACTTTAAGTTTTTTTTTTAAAGAAATTCTAACTGGGGCCAGTAGAAGATCCCAGAAGCTGATCTGCAAATCAAGCTACTTGTATTGGTGTGTGAGACCCTGTGTTTAGGATTGGGTGACTTTTCTAAGAGAAATATGGGGGGTGGGATGGAATGGGTTTGGTTGTAATGTTTTTTTTTTTTAACCTAACTTGACTGGGTGGGGAGTGGGGACGGGGATTCTATTTTTTACAATATTTTGTTTTTTATTTTCTATTAACATTTCCTCTTACCCTTGAATTTTTACTAAAATTCCTCCTGATAAAAAAACCTTGTTTCTAATCTGGGAATTTGAAATCTCGGTACTTAATGTTACACCATTTTTTTCCAAAGAATTTAAATCACTTTAATACCAGAACATGGCAAAAAATAATAATAACTTACAGCCATTTCAAGCAGTTGGTGGGCTTTTTTTTAATACAATAACATCATTAACTGGTACATTAAATGTTCTGAGAGGTGAATGTAACAAGTAGAGGGTTTTATTTTTTTTTCTTTAAATGACAATAAACTTTCAAAGAGAAAACCAGCACGTAATCTGTGTGACATCCATTGATTGCCTAAATGATTAAAATTTATTTTAGGTTTTCCCTTCAGTGGTCATGGGGGAAGGAAGTTGGAGAAGAGGGAGGGACCTCCTAGACATTAGCTTGCTGAAGGGTTAAATATGCGTGATGTCCAAGATGAACTCCCAGGTCTGTAAAGAGCCAGTCTACGGTTGTCAACCCTTAAGTGTAGCCAGCTAAGCTGTCTTCTGGTCGGAAAGGATAGAAGAACCTGATTAAAAATGGAATAAATACAGTTGACCTAAGGTAGGAAAGGCCTTAAGGTAAACTGGTCTGATGAGGAGGATGCTGTTCATTGAGAACTCGAGAGCAGTACTTGCCAGTCTCACCAAAAAAGATGGTGTTTCTACAGCTCCGTGGTGGTGGAGGGGTGGTAACGTGGTGAGGCCGCTTTCTGCCCCTGGGGGCCCGTGCGCTCTCAGCCCAGTTGTGCCTGTAATACCCATTGGGAAGGGCCGCTCCACACTTGGGATAATGGAGAAGGGCAGTCACAATCTGAATAATTTTTTATTGTTACCGTAACATTCGTAGAACTCATTGGAAACGACCCCGATGCTGGGAAAGACTGAAGGCTCAAGGAGAAGAGGGCAGCAGAGGAAGAGATGGTTGGATGGCATCACTGACTCAGTGGACATGAACTGGAGCAAACTCCGAGTGATAGTGGAGCAGAGAGACCTGACGTGCTGCAGTCCATGGGGACGCAGAGTCAGACATGACTTAGCAACTGAACCACCGCAACAGTCATATAGAAAAGTGCACGAATCTTAATTGTAGAAGTTGTTTTCTCAGTGTCAGCACGTACATGGAACCAGCGTCTAGACCAAGAGACAGCGTCTGTGAGCTCTGCAGACTTTCAGTTATCTCTGCTTGCCCCGGTAACTGCTAGCCCGACAAGTTTCCTTTGTTGGAATCACCTTAGCCTCCGAGCTCTTCAGGTGTATGGGTCCTTCCTTAGTTGTAGAAGAGCCGAGTTTCTGGTGTGGGCCAGGGGCTGCGGGCCAGGGATGTGAGCTGGCAGCAGAGAGTGTGGTTCAGACTCAGGCCCAGCAGCTCACTCTCCTGTTCGTTACCAAGGCGAGTGTGGCCTGCCCTTGATGTTAGTATCTGCCTTTTCCCTGAGCACTCTATGTGTCAGGCTGTAGACTAAACCCTCCGTAGGAGGTGTTTTCTCACTTAATCGTGGCAGTAATCTGTTGAAGAGTACTGATACAAAATCAATCCAAGGCTTACTTTGAAACCCAGAGATCAGCACCATGCCTGGTAAGTGCTCCGTGAATGGTAGCTATCGAGCAGTGTTAGTGTAAAATGATGGGTAGAGTGAGGCAGACTGGTCAGTAAGCATGGCTCCGGCTCCCAGCGCTGTGCCCTTCACCTACATCTTCTTGTTGAAGCCTTGTAACAGTCTTGGAGGGAGCACATCGTTGTTATCAACCAGTTTACAGAGGAGGAAGCAGGTTCCATTAGTCACCGAAAATGGTTTGGTAACTTCTCCAAGGTCCCATACTGAGAGGCTGAGTCCAGATCTTTTGGATTCTAAGCCAGCTTTCCTACCTACTACCTTTTGCTGTCCTTTTCCAACCTCTTCTG